AAGGACGTATTTAGGTTTTGATGGAATGCATTACTACAAACTCATCGGCAAGAAAGTTTTAAAGGTCCCACTCAAGCGCTTTGCAGTACAAGACACATATTCTATGTCTAACATACATTTTCTTATCAGAAGTTTTGTCTTTTTAACGATATACATTATTAGAGCGCTCTAATACATCCTTTCTGGATTCAAAACAGGTTTCTATTTACTCCATGACAATCAAGCCATGGAACAAAGGTTACTGTTGTTCGAGTAATGACACATTCTTTTCATTATCAAATTGATGATTACGCAGTAAATATTGCTTGTTTATTCTTCTACTGGGAGTCTGTCTCATTTTCAGATTTGTTCCACCGATACTCATTGATCGAGCTTCTATAGCAATAGGTTTGCTAGCTCCCATCTTCTTCAAGTTATGCAAGATGCTTATTCAACCTTTTTCACTTCAGATTGTAAATATTAGACAAGAAAAATAAAACATGGCTCTGAAAGAAGTGGATAAAACGCCTGCCGCTGAAACCGCATTTACGGAGGCCGACCGAACATGCCCAAAAGATATGCATTCGGCGAGGGAAAAGGCCAGCAAAGATATTAAAGCTCTTGGAGAGGTGAGAATTTTACTTATATCGGGAAGCTGAGTCTAAGAAGGTGATCTCAATCAAAAAGAGTTTGGCTAAGCATAAATATCTTGTTTTAGGGAGAAATTATCGGAAATTGGAAAGTTGTACGACCAATTGAGCCAGAACGTTGCTTTAACACCATTTATGTTGTGCAGCACGTGAAGAAAGGTTATCTTGCAGCACTGAAGGTACATCTCTAAACTTAACACAAAGGAGAGAGAGCAACCATTTACCTTGATGAGCAAAGGAAAATGAAGTATATTGCTATCACTAAAAAGTTTCATTCTTAAACTCCTACTATAGTAGGCAGGTCCTGCCCACTGATAGCTCATAGCTTGAGGCGTAAAACAAGTGAAATCCGTTTCCCATGCATACAGCTAAACATTCGAACAAAAAACACCATTTCTCATAATCCCATCCCTCTTCTTTATGTAACTTTGTAGGAAATTTCTCGTTTGATATTGCTATCCATCGTACTTTTGTATTTAACATTATGGACTAAACCTAAAGGTATCGGGGCCTACGCAACTAAGATAGACGGCTTCAGCAAAATTCTACAAAGCATAGCCATGTCGCAAGAAAAGCGAGCGAGAGTTGAGTCAAGAAGGGGTTCTGTTCTAGAGTGAGATATGCCAGATAAAAACTTTCATAATTATTGGTATACTGCATATGGCTGCTTGTTCCGTAATTGTAATGGATGGGAAGAAGCGCAGTAAGTTGTTAACGTGATAATAATTTACGCTATTTCTTCATTTTCCAATGGCTTTATTTGGGAACTGATTTTTGCAGTCCAATCTTGACGTGTAATCTTAGTTGAAGAGTGATTCTAAACGATCTTCTCTCTGAATGGGATAGACTGCTGGTGGTAATGGATGGAAAGCAGGAGAGGGTGACAGGAGGAGAATTACTACTCCATAACATTGGCCCTGACGTACGCAACTACAATCCCTTCCAATTCGGCTCGTACGCGTTCCCGCGGACTATCCCCACAGGGAGTGAGAATCATTTAGTATCCTTTAAATGCACATGGGGCTATATGCATGAACATCTCCGGGGAGCGGAGCGGTTTTGAAACCCCCCGGGCACTTCCTTAGGCACAATACGTCAAACCTTTACGCTGGGGGGAGGGAAGAGGATGCTGCTCCTCCGTGTATGATGGGATCCGCAAAAGGCAGGTCGTAATCCTCAGGCAGACTTGAGCATATGAACGCCGAAGCTGCCGAAGTATATCAAGTAACGCCTACTCGGATATTTACGGACCATCAAAAATTTTTTATCTTCGCATTTTCCCGCTTACGGAGGATCTGCAGTACGAGTCAACTGTCTCCAGTCTTTTCGATTTCATGATGTTCATCGACCCTGAGTATTTCAAGTCAGCTCTGATTCTGTCGATCTACTTCATCTTTGGCCTTCATGTGGTCTCCAGCGACCTCCAGGGGCGGTAGTAAACTCCTTGTGTGTTACCACATCAAGGTCGCAACATGTGACGAGCGTGGCTCGCGCCAGATCCAACTATTTCGCACCGTGCCGTATCTCTCAACATGCGAGCCTGATGCGGTGCGAACACCTCGCAACATCGGCGCGTTGTTAGGAGGATGCGAGGATGTTACGAGGTTTGCGATGT